TTTTTTATTTTGTACAAACAAAATAAATATATTGAAAAATATAAAAGCAATAAAAAATTATACTTCAGAAGTTAATTTAGTATCAAAAACATAAAATATTTGAGTAGCCCAAGACATAGCCAAAGATTGCAGTGCCACAGCACTGGCGAAAATTTAAATTTGCTGACTGGAATTCTTTCAGATAATCGACATTTCGGATAATTGACTTTCGGATAATCGACGCTCTACTGTAATCCACATTTGGGACTTTTACAAATTTTACAAATCATGGTTATTATCTGATGAGTGTGAAGATGTCAATCTGCTGCTCTGAGGGCATGGATTTAAGTCCAGGTCAAAAAATTTCATAAATTTTTCATGAGCATTCTTCTCTCAGGTCTGTCAAGCTTCTTTACTATCCACCCTGTTACTCCATTGTGAGCTTGGCCAAAGTATCAATGAGTATTTAAAAAAAAAAACTGTTATTGCTTTTAAGGGAGAAAGAATGAAAAAGTTAAAAATTATTATAATCATTATCGTTATTATTATCTGGTGATCTCACAAATTCTTAAATTTGATAATTCATTTTAGACTTGGAAATTCCACTGTTCTAATTGATTTAAAAATCAATTAGAAAAATCAATTAATTGATTTAAAAATCAATTAGAACCGTTGCAGTTTCAATTGATTTAAGTGACTAAAGTGATTTAAAAATCAATTAGAACTAAGATCAATTATCCTTGCAATAATAATAACTCAAAAAATAAAAATTTATTTATATGTAAATTAGTTTCAAGAGTATGATGCTAATATCATGAAGATCTTAGTTTGCAATAATAGTAGATAAAATTCTGTTTGCCAATTCTAATAAAACATTCCATCAAAACATCTTAAAATGGTTTTAATGAAAAATATATATACATTTATTTATTTATAATTTACCAATGTATATTTTTATTATACATCTTTACTTAGGGGCAGATTTATATTGAAACTAATAAAGCTTAAGCTCAGGCCACTGAATTTAGGGGGCCTACATAGCTTAAATTTAAAAATTTGTTTTCAATCAATTTTTAGCAGTAGTATGTTAAAACTTTTGACAACATACATGAATATATACTTTTATTTTAATGTGTGTAAGTGAACATTTTTTAAAGGACTCCAGAAATTTAAAGCTTGAAGCCCCTTGAAATATAGATTTGCCCCTGTCACTAGTATGCAATAAAAAGTGCATATTTGGAATTACAAAGTTCAACAGATTAATTCTCTTTATTAGCATCTAGAATCTAATGGTAAGATAACAGATTGAGTACAAACAATAAATTTAAATACATAAAAATTTTCAATAAAATAGAATACAGTAAATAATAAATATGTTCATAGTTCATTCTTTTAACACACTTCAAGAATACAACAATCTCTACAACAGAATTGATCTTTTATTGGAGGCTATTTCTCTGCCTCAATGTACAAAAACAATAATAATTTCAGGATGACAGTTAATTATAAAATTATATTAATCTGAATATATAAATTAATAATAATAATAACAATCCCCCTGGAATTCAACTCCACTGTAGCAACTGTTGTATTCCTGAGGTATGTAAAAAGGATGAATTATGATGACATTTATTGTTTGCTCTATTTTATTGAATATTTTTATATTATTGTTGTCATGGCCATTTTATTAATTTAAATTCGAAATATTCACTTTTAATTATTTTTCATATCATATACAATTAAAATAATTTAAATCAAAATTATATTTGATAAGTTTTAATTACAAGTTACTGTTATTTAGGCTTAGCCAGGGCAAAATCAGTGCCAACAAAAACATATTCCAATGAAGTTGTTACATTATGGTAAGTATGTTTACAATGTAATGTTTCTTTTTTTTTAATTTATATATAAAACATATATTAGTTGAAAAGCTTTATAAGAATTTTTAAATGATCTTACATTATTTATAATTTTGCTATGTTGTTATAAATAAATTTGTTTTTGTTTTTCTTTCTGTTCTTAAGCCATAAAATATTTTCATTTCATATCATTCTAAGTCTTTCAATTCTTTAAAAAATGAAAATAAAAATTTCTATTCTAGTTAAACAAATATTTTAAAATCTTTTATGTAACATATATAATTCACATTTATTATAATTTTCTCTGAAATGATATACTAAATAATTATGTTTTGCTATTTTCATTTTTGTACAAAATTAAATGTAAAGATAAAAAAGCATACAGCAAAAAGTTAAGAATTAAATAATTAGCAAGAAAAAACAATTTAAGCATGATAATTTATATTATATTTTATTAAATTAATTAACAAAAGAAATCATAGTTTGTTTTGTTCTATATTTAATATTTCAGTGTATAAATTTAAGTTTTATTCTATTTTGCTTTAATGCAATAAAACGGACTAAGCAAAGAAATTTTCTTTCTAAATAAAGGATATTATTAAAAACTCTTTGAAATAGTTGGATTGTGAAATAATTTTATAATCCAAAATAACTTTTAAATTTGTAGGAAAATAATAACAATACTTCTACAGATGTTTTTTTTTTTTCTTCTTCTTTCAACAGTGACTAAATTATTCAGTTAAGATCTCTTTAAAAATGATCATTTTTTGAAATACATTTAAATATACTGTTTTATTATCATCAAGAAGTAATATTTTAAAAATTTTCTGAATCTATTTTATTCAATTTTTATGATAGCAAATGAAAAAAATGATTTATTCCTTTACTGTTAACAACACTGAATTTATACTTATCTTGTAGTTGAATTTGAGAGATAATTGCGATAGTAAATTAATGCATAAAAATACCAAATTTGTGAACAAATGGTTAATAATCATCCATTAATGATTTTTTTAATATATTGTAAAATATTAACATTTATAATGTGAGATTAGCCAGAGGTACCTTTCCTCTAGGATTGTTGGTACCACTTATTTGGCAGCTAGTTGGTGAAACTAGTTCTCGGGTCGTCTACAAGGATGGTTTTTCCTAATTCAAGGAAAATTGAGGGTGGGGGACTTACAGTTTAAGTAAATTTAGAAAGCAGGATTTGAGGATTTTGTAATCACTCTTTCCCTCATCAGGATTCCCGACACCAGTTAATTAATTTACCATTTTGCAGATTAACACGTGTATGGAGATAATACGGATTTGATTCAGATATTGAATAAGAGACATTTTTATAACAAATAATAATAGAATTTAATAAGACAAAAGTAACCAAAATTACACAAAATTGAAATGTTAAATGATTAACTATTACCGATGGAGAGAGAATATGGATTCCATTAACATATACGCGTCAAGAGAGAGAGCTCACAAATTCATTGATAATCATACTACCTCAAGGGGTACTTTATCTTTATCTGTATTCTATGATCATACTTCATTTCATGGAGAGGTCTTTATTTGGTATAATATTATAAGTTCTTCTTTTCTCCTAAATTAACTCGTTTTTATACTCGATTGGATATGACTAAGGGCATTGGTCTTATGGAGCAAATATGGACTACGTCGGTCTTTACTGAGATCCTTCGACGTACTCCCCGAATCATGTAGATCTTTGACTATATCTCATGATTTGTGACCAATCAGCATATTTGTATTTTCTCACGGGACCGGAGGGAAAGAGGAATTATTGAGGGGTCGACAATTCCCAAGGTGATGAGATTTTTGACAGATAACTGGAAAACAAAAGTATGTGTCTACTTCTGTTAAAGGAAGTGGCTCTTTTATCAGTTTTCCCACGTTAGAAAATGATATTTTCACACCCAAATGAAAGAATATTTTACTTCAAACTTTTATCTTTATATTTAAATTGTTAATTAAACCGAGGGACTATTCGAATCTCACAATAAAATGTATATAAAATAATTTAAGTATAAGTATTTTATTTATCTAACATTAGAAATATTTTTGATTTCTAAATTTAAATCTAATGCATTAAAGAATTTTCCAATTAGAAATAGACTTATCATTTTATGAGAACATATTAAATTCATTTTTAGAATGATTTTAAAAAGTAATTTGATTATAGGATTTGAATCTGTAGTTCTTAAATGCTTGGCAAGTATTGTAAGTTGCTGGTTTTGCTATTCAAACACTTTCGAATTGGCTCTATATACCAATAAAAAGATTTTAATGCAATTATTATAATAATTCTTTTACAATTATTGTTGTCATTACATCTTTCCTACTAACTCTCCAATGTTTTTATTGATATTTCTTGCATATACTTTGAGGATCACAAAGAAAGAATGTCTCCAATCAATATAACATAATTGTATACAAGTAATGGTGATTTATCTTTCAAAACATTTTAAGTATAAAAAAAGAATGAATATGAAATGTTTGAGTGATATTATTGCTCATGAATTTTCTGATTATGTTAAAGTTTTTGGGTTCATATTCTGTTTTAAGCTAGTTTTGTTTGCTTTTAATTATTTAGAATTCACATAAAATAATATGTTAATTTTTAATATCATTTTAGCAATAATAGAACCATCAAAACAAATAAGTTAAACAACTTAAAAATCATTAAGAATTTATTTTACAAAGATGAATATTTTCTATTGGATAAGTTGAAAATATTCATCTTTAATCCAAGTTAAAAATTCATATATATAGTATATTTGAAGTATTTTTTTGAATTTCACATAAAGATTAAACTTGTAATAGGTTCTTCTGCACTGTGTTTACAGAATTGTTCTATATTGCATATCTAAATCTTGATAATTCTTTGTTAAGATAACCTATTCTTATATATATAATGATTATCTTTTAAAAATTATTCAAATGTTGTTGAATGTTGTTAAACATCTATATTACTAAGTAAAATAGAATATATTTTGAATAAAACTGTAACTTTCAATATTCAATATATAAAAATTAACTTTAATTTTATGAATAAATAAAATTTAGTTGATATTATGTGATGATAATTTCATGAATTTCTCAAATTTTAGGTATCGTCCACCTGATGTTTTGTTAGGTTCCACAGATTATACAACATCTATAGATGTCTGGTAAGTTTCAATTTGTAATGAAAATAAAACTTTTTAATTAAATACTTTATTAATTATTCAAGCATAGTATTTTTTTTTAAGTAAATATAATTCTATATACTATGCAATCCAAATGCTTTAAATGTTTAAATTTTCATACATTTTAAATAAATTAACTCACTGATTTTCATTTGTTTCTCAAGTTGGTTAAACAGAGTTTAATATGCACTAAATTGGGTAGTTATGGACAAAGGCATGCAGTGTTGGATACCTTTGAAGGAAATGCAAATGAAGGACAGCTGTGTGCTAGGTGATTGATACTATTTGTGTCACTAACTACCCACCACAGAAGGGAATATTTGAATTGGATACTTGTGCATGTGAACTGGAGTCTAACTCAATGGAGGTTCATACTTTTTATGGATGAATCAAAATATGCTTTACAGATTAATGACATTTTATTTGAAGAATGCCAGGAATCTAGTGTTATCCCTCTCATATCCATGAAAAGGACATTGTATAGTGGAGGTAGTGTGTTTATATAGGAGGCATCTCTTTAGGTAGACATTGACCTCTGTGTGTTTTCATATTAAAACCTGACTCCTCAGAGGTACAGAGATCTGTATTCCTGCACCTCCTTGTTCATATGTACATAGCTGCAGTTGCATACTGAATAAATATAATAACAAAAGAATTTTTAGAAACATGAACAGTAGCAAATGTTTTTATCTTAAATTTAAATTTATAATGAATGAGAAGCTAGAAATTATTTACACACACCCACAAAGACACAAATCTAAACACACCATATACATACTATTTAAGTAACACTGTATCAGTGTGTAGTTGGAGCAAGGCTGCTCATAACAATCTTTATTGTAACTCTTTAAAAATACTATGTCAGTTATTTTTTTCACTCGACTCAATGCAACATAGGTAAGACCAACAGCTGTCTCTTTTTTTATCTATATCTATTTGTTTTTTGGAAGAGTTAATCCTTGTGATTTATGTATAGTCATCAAGTATGCTAAGGTAAGGGGAAACTGTCTGAGATTGCAATATACTGCCATCATTCGAAGTGCGTGTTATGGGGATTATTGGAAACATATTACCATAGATGAAAGGTCCCTGATAGCTATCGAATTCTACTAAAATAAAAATATGAAGAGCTGGAGGGCGAGCATTAGGAGCATATATAATGTAGCATATAGTTCCTAGTGAACCATTGATGAGACCTCCTTGCACCCATAAGTTGACTCTCAGCATGATTCTGGCATTAACTGAGAGATTCAAATACTTGGAGAGACCAAGAGCTGTGTCATCTTTGGATGAAGGCAGGGCAATATCTGGAGTGTTTTCAGATGCTATATAAGCAACAGGGCATCTAGTTGACTGCAAGTAGTCTTCGTTGCTTTGTTTAACTTTCTCGTTTGTTGGATATACTGTAACTCTACTGCCATTTGGAACTGATCAAGTTCATCTCTGGATAAATAAGCTTGATTTCTTGTCAGAATGTTCCGATCTGTATCAGAGAAATCACCCGAAGCTAGATGTTGTAAGACATCTGTGAAGGAACTATCTGCGCTATTTTGTCTATGAGAATTACTAAGTTCAATGAACTTCTCAAAAGAATCAAATGCAAATATACCTTGTTCGGACATTACATCATAAAAAACATTTGATTAGAGAGAGGAGTATCTTTAACAGGAGGAAGCTGACGAAAATCACCAAACAAATAGATAAAGAATCCACCAAACGGCTCATCTTTCTCGGGGTTTATCTCCCTCAATGTTCTCTTGATCATGTAAAACATTCTTGCACCAATCATTGACATTTCATCGATGATGATGAATTTAAGAGACTTTATCTCATTCTGGAATCTCTGTACAGCTTCTCCATTTAGAGATCGAAATTTCATACTAATGATAGGAAGACGAAGTAACGATGGATTGTAAAGCCATCAATATTGATTGCTGCTGCTCCAGTGGGGCACAAACCTTTATAGCATCAGGTTCTATAGCTAAAATGACCTGTCGAACAATTTCCTTTATCACAGTGCTTTTCCCAGACCCTGTCTTACCTTGAATAATCAATCTCTTCTCACAACGAATAGACCAAAGGGTTAGAGACTTTATTTGCTTATCAACAATATCTAAAACTAAACGTTGGTCAGATGAAAAATTAACTTTGGGACAGTCAGCCTTCTTCAAGCATTATGTCTTCAAGAGCTCAGAAACATCATCCATAGTCAGAATAAAAGAGGGCATGGAATTCCAATCATGAGATAAATCCATCAATCTATGGCCTAAGGTTGTGTCAACAGCAGTACCTCTGAAGCCAGCAGCAATAATAAATAGATCCTATATGTTGTCTTCATTAATCCGCTCAGGAAGGAAGCCATCTTCTCCTGGCTGTGGAAACTGTAATTGTTCTACCGCACCAATGCTGTTCCTCTCATATGCCCCAAACCATGTTTCACACTCAATTCTATCAAGAATACTGCAGAATTCATCATGGAATGGAATGTAGAGAATTGCATTGGAGTTTGTAAAACTGCTCTTGTTTGTCAGGATCTGTATCAAGATTGATTTGTGGAAAAATTTTGACAATTGCATCTTTCTTACAACAAATGAACCTTTCACCTCTTTTATTCCACCTCTTTGCAAAATCAATCAATGATAACGGTGGTAAAAAATCTTCTGGTCAACTCCTGAGCTCCCTTTGATGCTCACGCCTAACCTGATCACTCTGTTTTGACATATGAGGCATAGCAAAAATTAAAATGGCGTTCGGAGTAACCACGTTTAGTGTGCAGCGACCACTAGATGACGCTTCTACACGTGCGTGCAGGAAGCAGCTGCCAAGCAAGTTTAATAATTTCTGATTTTGTATAAATGTAATGTTTTAAAAATAAAACTTTATTTAACTTATTATAGTAGAGCGTCGTTTATCCGAAAGCCGATCAACCGAAACATCGGTTAACCAAAAGCATTCTACTCGGACTGTGTCGTGCTGAATTGAATGTTTTTGATACTAGATTAACTTCCAAAATATAATTTTTTTGTTTTTATATTTTTCAATATATTTATTTTGTTTGTANGATTCTAGTTATTTTTTTATTTTTCTGTTGCCCTTTTGCAATTCATGATTAATAAAAATAATAAAATGTTACTTACAAATTAAAATCAGAAGAAATTTAACAAAGTTATAAACCGTAGCACTGCGAACGTCTAGTCTAGTATAGTACACCGATAGTGCTACTTGTTCATAGATGGCGCGTATAATTGAATTAAGTCGTATAGCGAGCAAAAGTCGTATACCGAGAAAAATTTGTTTCATCCAAACAGGACGTATTCTGAATTGGACGTATTCTAAAGCAGACGTTACCGAGGTTCCACTGTACTGCTTACAGTATCTAGGTTTGAATCTAGTTTAGACTCATAAGTTTTTAGAAAATAAAATGAATTCTAAATTTAATGTAATTATTAATCTTAGTACAAGACAACAGAGTAACCACTTACCTTTAGATCAAATTACTTAGTTTTATTAATTAAAATCTAGTGTAAATTAAACTCAAAATATTTAACATTTAAATATTTGGTTAAAATAAAATTTTGAACTGAACTGCATGTTTTATTTTTAATGCTTTAATAGTTTAATGTGAAATTTAAATGAAAATATTTTAGAATACATTGCATCTAGTTTTAAGGAAGAGTATAAATTAAAATAATCCATAATAATAAATAATTTGTTTTTCATTTTGTAGAGAAAATGAATGTATATTTTCATGACTAACATTCTCAAAATGAATAATTATTTCAGAAAAAAGGAACACAATACTTATTCAATCTTAATTTTCTATGAATTAAGCTTTTTGAATAATATTTGTCAAATACAGTAGAGCGTCAATTATCCGAATCAATTGGGGACTGGGGTTGTTCGGAAAATCGATATTTCGGATAACTGATTATGTACAAAAAATATATTAACCTATCCCATGTTGAAATTTTTCTCCATTGCGTGTCACTTCGCGTTGAATTTTCATTGATGTTAAGCCTAACATAAACTTTTTAAAATAATAATCGCGACTATTGTATCGTTAAAAATTATTTCTTTATTTCTTACAAACAAAATAAATATATTGAAAAATATAAAAACCAAAAAATATAATACTTCAGAAGTTAATTTAGTATCAAAAACATAAAATATTTGAGTAGCCCAAGACATAGCCAAAGATTGCAGTGCCACAGCACTGGCGAAAATTTAAATTTGCTGACTGGAATTCTTTCAGATAATCGACATTTCGGATAATTGACTTTCGGATAATCGACGCTCTACTGTAATCCACATTTGGGACTTTTACAAATTTTACAAATCATGGTTATTATCTGATGAGTGTGAAGATGTCAATCTGCTGCTCTGAGGGCATGGATTTAAGTCCAGGTCAAAAAATTTCATAAATTTTTCATGAGCATTCTTCTCTCAGGTCTGTCAAGCTTCTTTACTATCCACCCTGTTACTCCATTGTGAGCTTGGCCAAAGTATCAATGAGTATTTAAAAAAAAAAACTGTTATTGCTTTTAAGGGAGAAAGAATGAAAAAGTTAAAAATTATTATAATCATTATCGTTATTATTATCTGGTGATCTCACAAATTCTTAAATTTGATAATTCATTTTAGACTTGGAAATTCCACTGTTCTAATTGATTTAAAAATCAATTAGAAAAATCAATTAATTGATTTAAAAATCAATTAGAACCGTTGCAGTTTCAATTGATTTAAGTGACTAAAGTGATTTAAAAATCAATTAGAACTAAGATCAATTATCCTTGCAATAATAATAACTCAAAAAATAAAAATTTATTTATATGTAAATTAGTTTCAAGAGTATGATGCTAATATCATGAAGATCTTAGTTTGCAATAATAGTAGATAAAATTCTGTTTGCCAATTCTAATAAAACATTCCATCAAAACATCTTAAAATGGTTTTAATGAAAAATATATATACATTTATTTATT